CTTCTTCGGGTATCACTAACTGAACAGTAAATCTGTCAACGAAAACATTCTAAATTGAAGGTCGCGTGACGTGACAATGTAACAAATATACGTGTATAACAAAGATTAACTACACACGCTTGCATGTATATATATATATGTTTATCACTTTCTATTGTTTCAATTGTTTGTAAGCATTGTTGTACAAGTATAACTGTTATATTGTCACGTCACGCGACTTTCGATTTAGAATGTTTTCGTTGACGGATTTACTGTTCAGTTAGTGATAATTGAACAAGGGCATTGCCCGAAACGTTGTATCCACAATTGTACATATTAACTCCTTAGTGGTTTGACCTATAATATACTTCTTTTTCCAAAATAACAATATGACAATTAACTGAAAGAGACAAAAATACAAGTTAATTTAAATTTTATTAAGCTCTATAAAAGCTAGCAATTATTATTACTTGTACGAACGTTAAAAGAAAACCTTACAGCATGTTGTATGTTTAGATTTTGTTAGATTTTTAAAATGTTCTCAAAAATTATAAAATTTATAACTGGTTTTTTTCGATTTTTTTTTACTTGCCTTCATATTCAAATAAGTAAAAAGATATTTTTATTCTTTCAGCAGCGAAATTTTCAATATACTTACCTTCTGAATGCTGAGAGTTTATTGAGAGCAGTTATATGGCGAAATTATGCATAACTCTGCACATATTTTGCTGAAATAATCAACAAAGCTAGGAAAATGTAAACATTACCAGACCAAATCAAGCTACAAACATTACTTTAGTTTACTGTGTAACTAATTTAATATACCGGTCTGACTGGGATTGACATAAAACAAAAACTCGTAATGATTAAAAACTCTTATTAATATTTCGACTCATAAACCCAATAATATATCTACAGTTTCGACCAGCTTATAAGATTTAAGTTAGGCCTAAGGTGACATTGCACAATAATCCTCGTTAGCGTAAGAAATAAAATTGTCGTGGGTTTATTTGCTGTTAGATTATCCTGGCCACCGCTGGTAACGAAACCCAATTCTTAGCGTTATAAGCCCTCAGTTTTATAGCTGATCCACTGGGGCAAATGAAATAATAAAAGTGTAATAAATATGTAAGTAAATATATATATAAATTTGTACAGTGTGAGACACAGAAACAGAATTAGTACAGTAAAATGAATTTAGTGCAGTTCTTTACGCTAGCATTTTAGATTGATAAACAAAAGAACAAACAGCCAGTTAATTAACAGTACCAACTGTCAACCGTTAGGTTACTCTGATCGAGTAGC